TATATATATATATATATCGACTTGGGGTGAATAAAAGGGATTCGGTTCCTCTGAGAACTAGGTGGTGAGTTTGAGGAGGGTCTCAGATGGGTGTCGTGAATATTCATCCCACCGTGCAGCAGTTCTGTCCTGCCAACCATAGCCTGGTCCATGTCGTGATAGTCGCCGGTAGGTGCGAATCACAGTTGCGCATATTCACACAACGTATCTCGGCTTCATATTGCCGGCAGTAAGGTCAAATGAGTAAGGTGAAATTAGAATATCAGTGTTCATGTTGGTTCAAGTCAAATTCTTTGGTCCGATTTTTCACGGACTCCGAGTCACCCACATCGCAGTCGAACTCCACATCTTCTTTTGCTTCTGACGCGACCCAGAGATTGTGTTGGCTGAAAGAAGCCGTAAGTTACCTTCCTCTATCAAAGGGATACTTGGATTGATTATATCAAAACTCAGGGACATACAGACGGCTTTGTAGCCAGTAGATCTGTATCAGTAGAACACAGACACTCATTATCAGAAGGTTGGATTTCAACAAGGATTGCTAACACCGGAAACTGGAACATCCATATGACTCGGTATCGGAAGTAAAGATAACCCGAACGACTGCTTTCGGCAGTCCTAGTTTGTTCATTCTATGGGTATCTGCGATAAACGCTCCAATGCAAGTGTCAGTAATACCGGCAGCGAAATTATCAATGCAAAAATGTCCGATAAAAGTTTCTTTCCATTGAGGTTAATATCACGCACCATCCCATTCAGGTCAGTTAAACTATAATTCTTTAATCGATGTAAACTGGAAAGAAAAGAAAATTTTAATTAAAAATCAGCCTTGTACCCAGCAAGAGAAGACGCTTCCAAGGAAGCACAAATTTTGCCGGTTCCTAAGATGCCGAATCTCCGAGAGGAGCGCCGTACTACGCTACAAGCCTTTTTTCGAGTTGGTGAACAAACTGTGTAACTTTATAAGCCTAAGGTATTTTCACTGTCAGTATCCAGCGCCAGTTAGGAAGCGCACAGGTCAAAAGATTTCGAAGAGTAATGAAGACGCAGCAGGCCATCGTGCATTCACAATCCAATGACCCACCAGGTTCCTAAAATTGCTTTCCACTTCACTTTATGCTAACCATCAGTTGGGGTGAGAAACGCCCGAAGAAAAACGGTGCCCATACTCGAATCGTTTGACCCCGTGCGACTCATGTTGAGAATATGAAGTGCAAAAAGTTCGGGTGAGGTGATTTGAATGGGCTTGAATTGTATTAACCACCGTCGTGTTGGCAAAACGACAATTGCCTTCGCTACGATCAACGGCTCATTTCCTATACGACAATTCTGTCCTGTTAGGACTGTGGTGCACAAACGCTTACGCCTGTCTCGTTTAGTACAAAGATACGGGGCGCTTTATGATATGTACCTTCATATCCACACAGATTTCCGTGATGCCATAACACCCATAACTGAGATTCTGTCACTCGCCCCCGCTGAGTGGTCTTATTTGGTTGTCGTTTATCGAGGAACTCAATATCCTGAAGCCTAAGGTTTATCTTGACCTTACGCACCGGGCTTTTACAACTTCCATTATATATCTACGTTTTGCTTGTTGATGCTTTCCAACTGGTGAGCTGCGACCAAAATGGTCTACCTTGCGTCCGTACTTTCAACCAGAAACAAAGGAGGCGCGATTATTGTGGGTATTCATGTTCCTCTACCCCGCTTACGTCAACTGATCGCCGGACAAGTCGATGAAATCGGAAACTGCTTTAGGAACAATCAAAACGTTCCACTTTGGTTTGAATACCTCGGATGTTTTATCGTCCAGGATTTCTCGAAACACTGATTAGATGCAGAATACTGCGAAAAACTTCCGGTGGTCACGTGAGAACAAGATTCTAGATAAAGCGGTTGAATTATACAGTAGACTGGTCAGCAAAACACAAATTCCTTCCATTTCGGAGGGTACAGTATGCCAAAAAAGCAGTTGATGTTCTCCGTAGAACACCGCAGGATGACGAAATTTAGTATGAACACCTTTCCCCTGAGTGGCCGCATCCTCCTGTAAATCTTATGATTAATCTTTTGTTTTTTGAAAGCGCTAAAAGCCAGCAATGCTATTTTCAACAATTACGAGGATTTAACTCGTAAAACGAAACGCCGAATGTTTGTCCCGCAGAACAGCAAAAGAAAAATGGAGCAATTTAGGTGTAAAACAAACCCTTCCTGTCAGAAGATAATCCAGCTCTTGCCGGTCATTTACTTTCTAGATATGGAGTTACCACTTTTCCTTTAGAGTTGTTTTTCCAAGACTATGATGCAGTGGAATCTTGGCTGCACGTTACGTGCGCAGGAATAAAAAAAGATGGACTAACTTTGCAGTGTCGTTTTCAAACGCACAATATGAACTCATGAGGTAGGTAATATTTACAAACAGACGGTCAGCTGGAAAATGTTACCGCGACAGATCATTTTGAGTAAAAGCATGCAAGTCGTAATGTTCTGCCACAATTTGTCTCCCTGCGAAGAAGCGACCATTGAGAGCCTGGACTGCGTTTTGAACTGCTTGGACAGAGTCGAACTGTACAAAAACCTTAACAATGAGTGTGTTAGTTGATGGATCTGGTTCCTGATGAACAATCACGCGTTGGACGCCGCCGTAACGCGAACATTCGGCAGTCACCTCGCCCTCGAGTTCGTCATCACAGTCTTCCGGGCCGACCATATTACGGAGAATTAAAATACTGAAAAGGGAAGAGAAGTGAATACCTTATTCTCAACATGAATGCTTGAATTAAACCATAACAGTCATTCAAAGGCGGTTGAGCACTAATTGAGAAGCGCAGCATCTCCAAGTCAAGGGATTTTTGACGATTGCTACTAGCTAGATGGCCCGCTGTAAGACGGCTATCAAAGTTGGGGTAAGGAAAGTCTACAAAATCATCGATAGTAAAAAAAACCGGCTTCATACAAACCACCCATTTCCAATGCTCTACCCCTCAGTTACACGTGCACAAGCAGTTCAGCAATCCAGGAAACCAAATTAAGTAAATTATGTGCATATGGCGAGAAAGTTTCGAAGCTACAATATCCCTATGAAGTCCCAAAATATTGCTTCAAAAAATCATTACCCCAGGATAAGAATAGATGTTCTAGTGAAGACGAATTTCCAGGTCGCGAATGTACTTGAGAAGCCCTGACTGCCAAGTCATCGAGACAAGATACGAGATAAGCCATACGAAATGATCATTCATCTGATGAAGTACAACCAGACTGTCACAAGCCGATTGAGTATACCGAATTGCATAGTGTTATGTCCTCACACAGTTCGGTCGTTGGCTACATAAAAGTCACTGCTGGTCAGCTCTCTCAGCACACATGAAGTGTCGTATATAGCTGGGTGAAAACCATTCATCTGCAGCCCAAGCTTCACTAGTACTCGGTACACCTACATCGGATTCCCAGTTTTAGCGATCGAATGGAACGGGTCAGTCGCTGCTGTGGATGACTCATCCTATACATAAGAGCCACAGGTATCGAGATAATGTCAAGTTACCTAGGACAAGCAATTACTTCAGATGTACGCTCAAATCATGAACCACGACAAACAAAAGCACCGCTATCTACGAAAAAAAGTGAGAAAGCCCCATTAGTAGCACACGGAGGCATTTTTCACAACCATTATTCAAATGAAGAATAGGTCAACGAAAATTCCTGCTATCTAGTTCGCTTCTCTCTAGACGAGTGTAGCACTTCAGCCCTCATCAGTTTGTCGAAAAGAGAGCACAGCTGAGTTCCTCGGTCTTTTTTTAATTTGTCGAACGAATAAGACTGACAGGGGCAAACTGTCAATCCAGTGAACTGAACTACTGATGGTCTTGGTACACTTAGTCGCAGTTATTGCTGCGGGCGGCAAGATCTACACATGACATGAAGGGTCAGACCGTGCTCGCCTTTTCGGATTGAAGTGCAATGGCCGCTGTCTGGTGGGTCGTGCCTGCCAAGCACGATTCACTTGACATTTGATGGACTACACAACTTAGCTTCACAGAGACAAAAATTCTCCAGCGATAGCTTCTACCGGTATCCAGGATAAATCACATTCTCTCTAAAGTAAATTGAAGGTGCAAAAGGACCGTTTCAGAAGTGGATACACCCTAGTCCATCTCACGTTCTGAAATTTTCCCCGTACACTTAGAACCAGGATTTATCGGGTGAAAAGTAACAACGGATTTTAGGTTTTCAGCATTCCTGCTATCGTTCTAAATCTCTAAATCGATACGGCACAAGTTGCCCTATAAACACCTGTACGACAGTACGCGGTTATCACAGCTGATATTAGTGATGATATCATGATATTCGAAGGTTCTTATTCCGTGAACTGCACCGCTCAGCAGGTCTCATCAAGTGAAACGCTCCTTCGATGCCCTTCGGCTGAATTTTGCTGTCACAGTGAAATTAACATGCAGCCACCGTACAACGAAGTAGCCGTGACAATTGAGAGTATGAGCCAATTTACAGTGACCAATTAAGTTATAACAGCATGTTGGAGGAGCCCTACTACACATATATGATGGAACTCAGGTTCGTCCTTCGTTTCCTAGTGATCTGTGTGATTTGTGAAAACCCTACAGGTTTCGGCGGCGAGTGCAACGATTCAGCAATGAATTAATCGGTTTGTCAAGCAATTTGTTGAGATTAACTGAAAGTGGAGCGTCTAAACCGCACTGGACAAAGCACGAGTTCACTGCGACCGCGCCATCATTGGTGTTTTAAGGGAACTTTAAGATTTTGCTGAACGCTACACGAAAGTTTTTTGTGTGTATTTGTCCAGATTCGAACAGAATCACTACGGAGATATGTTTCGTTTTCCTACCATCGTTCGTTTGCAAATGTATAAGGAAAACCAAGACGAGATCGTCTGCCTAGACTACTTTCAATACCGTTGACGCTGACCCGACGGACTCAGTGTGTTGTACGTAACTTCCTTTTCGAATGAAAAGCATCAGATAGCTTGAACGAATGAAGCTAATCAGTGGAGCCCACCCAATGTAGCGTACACTAGGTTATAGTCTGACGGGAATTTAGCCGATAGAGTCCATGGAACGTTAAGTAGTACGAAAAAAGTTTAAAAAAACTCCACGTACCCAGAGACAGGTGGCGGTGTAGAGGTTACTGCGAAAGAACTCTTTCTGCCAATTCCAATGCTATTTTCTGGAGGTAACGGTATCGACGACGGAAGTACTGGGCCCGCGTCGCTTGGATCCGGTTGGTCCCATGAACCTAACGGTTGCGGACTTGCTATGTACGCACGCGGGTGCTGTCCATTGAATGTACTGGAAGGAGCTGTGAAAAGAAAAAGACCACTAAAGACGCGGCCAGAACTCAAAAGGCTTAGCTATACGGAGTCTTTCGTTCTTATTAGGGTTATAGCGTGGGCATAGAGGGATCCATTGTGTGACCTAGTCATAACTAGTATCAGACTGTTGGCCTCAAGATCATACGGTATGTGATGCCAACCACCGGACAACTAGCCTGACTTAATCAACGACTTGGTAAAACGGAATCATGCCTGACAGAAGCAGAATCACTGCGATGAATGTTCAAAATTTATAGTTTCGTGACCCGGTTTGAATAATTCGTTCGAGGGCATAGGAGTCCCTGTTTTTTTAATCCGAGGCAAAGCAGCTGAAAAAGACTGTTCTTGAAGAGCCGAGGTTACTGAAATATAGCGGAATAAACATTTCTTTAGGCCCAAATTTAGTGACTTTCACACATTATTTCGCGTGTTATCGATTGACGATGATGTATGGAACCTAACCCTGGCAAATGGTGATCGCTAGTTAGACAGTGTTAACAACTGCGCCCCTAACGTACGCCAAGACGGGGTCATTCCGTATTTACCACGTCTATTCAAGTGCACGCGAGTAGCCAACTTGCTATCGATCATGCCGGGAGTTGGAATTTACATCCGATAGGTTGTTGTATGACTGGGTTTTCAAGGGTTATACCACACTCCTAACCGGACAAACGGTTGGAGTCCAAGCCCGGTACTCTGTGAGGACCAAAGTCTCGTTGAGATGAATGGTTTTGCCGTTCACTTGCATCGCAGTTGTTTGATAAGGTGGGCAGCGGAACACGAGATTAATATATTACTATATTATTACTTATTATATATATTATCATGTGTATAATAATATTTTATACCGGATAATGGGGTGTGGACACACGTAAGCATTTATTAGATATATACTGTGTCGCCTTTAACTGACTGAACCCCACATGGATGATAAAGCTCGTGTTGCCGCCGTTTTCGGTTGTGCAACGGGTACTTCCATTGAAGAGTGTGTCCAGCACCAGCAGCTGCGTTGCTTGGGAAATGTGTTGCGTATGCCGAACCATCGTTTGCCGAAAAGAGTGCTGTTTTCCATGCCTAATTCAGAGTGGTGTAAACAGAGAGGTGGCCAACCCTTGACTTGGCAGAGGAGTATGAAGAAGATTACGAAACGCCTGGGTGCTGTCGGTGCTACTCACCTTCCAGGATGGGGATCACGTGATCCTCACTGCGCCTAGCTGGAGAAACTGCAAGATATGGCTACCAACCGATGTCAGTGGCGTTCTTGTTGTCAGTTGCTATCCAGATCGCCTGAGTGAATGTCTGGAGGTGTAGGCACCTCGGAATGATTGTGGTAAGCTAGCACTGAGTCCCTCCCCTGTCCACATTTACTCTTTTCGTTACAATAAGGCTTTCAAATAAATCATGGTTGTACGGCAGTGAAGCATCGGTGTTGAACACTGATGTCATGCTGTCGATGATGATATTCAGGAGACTAAAGCTACCTTCAAATGAACAATGTAGTATCATGGCAAGTCATCAAAAGAGTGGGACTCTCCCAGTGTGACGGTTGCCGCATCTCAGTTACACAGGGAACTACACTGAGTACTTCGTCGAATTCTTTTAAACGCGTTTGAACAGTGGCAAAAATTTGAATTGTGCAGCGTCCTGTAACTTCCAGCAACTGAATTATCATGACATTCTCGTCGTGAAGGAAACACCTAACGTTATAACCCAATGTGAATGCTATGGAGCACCCTTAAAGAAAACAGTCACGTGAAAACGGCAGCTTCATTGCAATAATTCTGAACAGATCAGTTGCTTAAGATTAGAGTCAGCGATACGATAGAATCGGGTTAAGCTTTGACGTGGGTGAAAACACACTGGGCACCGACTCAAAATGCAAAAGGGTACTGCAACAGTTCCACTGCTCCCAGAGAATAATAGTAATTGCTTTCCTTGACAATTGGACTTTCTAACTCAGTTGACCATTAAACACCGAGTGAAGGTGCCCAACCATAATTCCCACTCACTCTAAACGCGAGATCAACAGTCTTTAATGATTTGTTTAGGTTAATCAACGCTATCGCGAAGGGGAGAGACCTTGTGAATTTTTGTCGGCTCGGGTGATGGACTTCAGACGACTTGTGTTCCCTGATAGCCGGACACCACCTCAGTTCAACTCCATTAGTATTTAAACGGTTTCCACACGCCCGCCATTTCATCTCCTATTCTGCTGCATTCACACTAGGACGATGGGTGATGTCAATAGTAGTCCCTTTCCTAGTCATTTAACATGTTCCGCCATTGCTGAATCACTTAAGATACAATTGACGCCACTTACCTCACCTCAGTCTATTACGGATCGTAAATATCTCACCAGCCGTTGGGCACTGCTTTCATAGATAGTCACTTCCACTTATGGCTACGGTAGGTTCACCCTCATCCGCCTTTGTAATCACGAAATCACTCGTTTGAAAGGTATTTACTGCTCTTCGCCTAGCTGGCGCAATACTTGGAAGCTTCTGTTTTTGGGGAATTCGGGGAAGTGACGAACTGTGTTCGTATTTCCTCCATTTCCGTTAACGTTTTTGGAACACTAAGAAGTACTTCTTCGGATCTCACATCGAAATGTAATGTGTTGGGCGGAATTGCGCACTGCAAACGCATAACTCCTCACACTACTGAGACCAAGAAGTCTGAACTGCACGCGATTAGTTAGAACATCGGGCCGCCTGTTTATCTCTCATCTCAAAGTATCCGCCGAATACAGGTTGCTAATGCCTCATCGAGGCGTCGGGATTTTCAGAATGTCGTCGCTACATACACTTTAAGTGCGACGCGCTGCGAGTATTTTTATCTTTGTGCACCCTAGCGAACACGCTAGCCTGAGAGGTTTAGACAGAGAGTCGAGCTGAGGCATTACCGTTATAAGAAACAGCTCCTCCAACAGGCAACGTGTTTCATCGCTAAACGACCCATCTAGCCAATTTACCACAGTGCAATACATAGCAGATGCTTACTTTTCCCATTGGTTTACTAGAACAATGATTAATGGAAAGCAACTTTTTGGACGTACATGATTGTCTGTTATTGCACCGTTGAGCTTGGGTCAATTCCAGTTCTACCGCTTTGGTGTTGAGTAATCTTGTGAGTGAGAGTGCGGTCTGAAGGTCGTGGTTGAGTCGATATGCGTGGCGGTGCATACCAGATAAGCACCATGCAGTTAAGTGAGTCTTACACGACACTCAAGAACAAGTATCCAGCACCGAACAGCGTGAGATTAAATACCCCAAACAAGTCCAACCGGTTCTAAGATCAACACCAAATGGCAGGAACTACCAACTGATATTCAACGCCGGATTAGCCAGATAGTTGAAAGAGACCTAGGTAGCTGGTACCCCGTCTGTTTTAAACTCGATCAACCTGGTAGCTTACTCGGAAACAAGTACACTGACTGTTCAGCAAGGAGTGATTTCACGGTCGGTTACGAAAGTTTTCCAATTGACTGAAGGCTGTTATTTGATTTTGCTGTGTACAGTTTGGAGAAGTAGGATGACCTGTGGATGACGTGCTTTTCAACTCGGTATTGATAGCATACTTGGAGCTCAATTATATGAGTCTAACACATCGAGGATTGAATCGCTTCAGGGCATTGGCAAGATTCCCCAGAAGTGAAAAACACTTTAAATCGCTGCACGAATGGGCAAACGCATCACATACAAATTTGTACAACATCAGCATCGAACGCGACCACCTGGCTGCGGACGACCCACGCAATATCGATAAAAATATATACCTCAAGAAATCCAGCAAGCTTATGGGAAATGGCAATTTATTGAACAGGAAGGTACGGAGTAGTCTTTACCAACCAGTGGCAACGTCACCTGATCTGCAATTCTTTTATTCACATTCGCTGGTAGACTGGGTCGATGCCGATGTGTTCATTGATTGGTTTCTCTGTGGAGTGCCACGCTTGAGCAAACGCCCACTCCCGTTTCGTTCTTGCGTGTGTCAATATTTGGACGTCATCCCAACTGGACTGACGTCCCCCACGAACTGAAACAACTGACACTGGGGCATGTCTTCCGCTGGCAAGCTTGTGTGCACAAACTGAGGTGGCCAGGTTTTTCCGGTGTGATCAACCTAAGTTTCGCTGCAGTTATTGTCACACTGGAGTTTCTAGATAATGTTTGTTTACTTTACTGGATCCAGTCTTCCCTCTTGTTTTAAGCGGGTTCTCAACAGGTGACTGTTATTTCATGTTAGTGTAATTGTTTTGTAGCCACTTCGGTGGTCTTTGATATGTGGAAGCAGTTTTTCTCTGCTTTGGTTGCTTTGACAAAGCAGACTGATTTCACAAGCACCACCATACAAGGCTTTTTGGGTAGCTGTTTGTCCGGAGGCCAGCCGGCCATCCGAACATCACATCATTTGGACGGATGTATCACGTGCGGGATACAGACCACACGAAAGCATGCCCTAATTGGTCAGAATGCCGGCTAATCCGGATAGAGCACCTTTGTTTTGACACTTCTTGCCCCCTCACGGAGATACTAGCACGACCTTGTGGAACATTGTCATTGCCCTATAAATACGGTTGTAATAATTTTCCTTTGTCTCCATACAGGGCTGTCTGAAGCTACCGTGCTACCATAGTGGACGGAGCAGGAAGCCAAGGAACCGATACAGAGTTGCATGACCGTCCAGCAAGACACAACACTGTTATTTCGGAATACCTAATAAATTCGTCTTCCTGTCTTCGTTTTCGGCTCTGTTGTGTAAGAAAGCGCCTCGATCCGTTTGAATAGGGTCCGAACTCAACTTCGCTTATGACCGTTCGGATGATGGCTTAGTTAGTTCAGAATCTGGTCCGTATGCATTTCTTCCATACATACTTCGACCGTCTGTTGTTCTTGTTGTTGTGGTTCCGGTTGTTTGCCTCTGTCTTCACAGTGGAGTGAATGTCGCGAAACACGCTGTTCAGCATTTGGCTTATTCATGACTGTCTGTTCTTTATAATAGCAAATGTGCCATGCATGTAATGCATACACGTTTTTGTTTTGATATCCGGTAGCACCGTTACTATCTGACAATAACCTACAGAAGCTCGCATTTTATTAAGGAGTTCGACCACCTGATTTGTTTGCTTGAAAGTCGCAGCTGGCCTTCAAATTGTCACCACCAAGCTGAGTGTTTTAGCACATTGTTTCACTTCCATAAGGTTTGCCTCTCATGGGTCAAAAACCCACTATACACAAAGGTTTAGCGCACATCTGTATTCTATTTCGCTCGCATATGTTCACTTCGTACAACTTGCCGTGCGGTACACGGTAGGTGAGTATGCCATTTGTACCCTCAGATCGTCTGATAGTAAGCGAACATTTAGGTTGCTAGATCCCTCGACAACTGGCACCCACACATATGTTCACCCCATGAACCTCTACGCGTACTGTTTCAGATACTACCACAGCAGCATGAACCCGTTGAGTGAACTTTATGAAGTCCTTTACACAAGTTACGTGATAATCACCACAGGCCTGACGAAAAGACAAGCCACACTATTGAGATCGAATATGTACAGCCACCGTTACTGGCCCAGTTCATGTCGTTTAGACAGAAATTTCATACCCGAGTCACCCAGAACTTATTGGTTACATCTTCGGATTTCTACCATTCTCATTCTCTTACTACAAATGAAGACTCAATCTAAGCGTCCTGCATGAGAATGTACTAGTACCTACCAGGACGTTTGATGCATGGAAACTGAAGCCGTATTTTGATATATCGTAGTCAGCTGACAGCCAGTTGGAAAATAGGTAAATTCAGTGTCTGCTCATTCGCAGAGGCCGAAAACCCCATTGCATTTCTGGAAATATTCCAGTAATTTTTTATTCGATAGACAACAGGAAAGTAGAGATGGCCTTTCGTTAAAAATGTTGCTCAAACTTATGTCTGAATAGTAGAATACAAAAGATAAAAACAATGCTGGGAGTTATCAATTACACGTGACTAGTCAGCAAGGTAGTCAACCCCTAGTGTACACATTGCCTGAAGTCGACAAGCTTTCCAACCGGTGAATAATATTCTCAGCTCACCCGCAGAAATAATTATGGCTTTCATAAAACCGTGTAAATGAATTTCAATGACTGAACTTTTGACAAAATCAGCAATTTTAGATTCCGGAGCACTAAATTGCCCATGGTTGGAGTTCACAGCATGATTCGTGCTGAATAACTGCTGAAGGGTTCTGCCTTTCGCCTTCTCTTGCCGTCCTTTAATCAGTCAAGCAGAGTAGTTTTTGCGCCCCCCTCCCTTAGACAGATGTTTTGAAGTCTAACAAATGAACTCAGAATTGCACGAACATACATACTTGTGGCTAGTTGGGAGGCCCTATGCATGAGACGCTGAACAAACACGCTCCTTTTAGAACTTTTAACCCGGTAGTCTCAAAAGTCGCCAAGTTACAATTTCGCTTAGTATCGTCCTTTACGGGTATTTGGATAGATAGCTCTGTCCTTTGTTAGCACCCATCTCCCACCAGGGTAACCATTCCTATTTGAGAATCGATACCGAAACTCTTAGCTCAGATTGTCCGAGTATAGCTCATGGGCTTTCAGAGCCAAGCATCAATAAATTACGTTTACGTTGTAGTAAACGACAAAGAAAAAACTAATGTGTTCGTTGACTTTGGTTGGCTTACGATACATGCACTGACAAAGGTACAGATGAGTTAGAAGTAGATCAGGGAATGGTGGAAAACTCCGGTTATCTACCTCGTACTTGAAACTGACTGTACGGTGGGCGGAGGTGAAAGAATCCGATATGTACTGGACACTCATTTTTACTAACACATCTGCCATAAACGGTAACAGACAATTCGTTCTAATTTGACCATGAATACGCAAGCGAGTAGAAGACCACAAGACGAGCCAATGGCCAGTCTGTCTACAGTATTTACCAACAAACAGCAGTTGGACGTTTATAGTACAACAGCTATTTTGGCTTGCTAAACAGGATTACGATTTTGTGGCCTTTCGTAACTCTACGCGTTAAAAATAAACTGTCCATTGGTATCTCACACATTGTCACAGAATGTAAATATTTTGTCAGGTAAAAGGAACTAAGCCAAAAAGCCATCATAAACTGAGTAGATTAAATTTACGTACCAGAACAAAGATATGAAGTCAATAGAGATGTAAGACTGTAGATGGTGTGGAATCCCTCCTCATCATCGACAGTATGACATCAGTGTTCAACACCGATGCTTCACTGCCGTAGAATCCCTAGAATTTGAGGATATTTATTGTTAGGATTTGGATTCGTGTCCACAAACATCTTAAAGATGAAAAAGTAAGCCATGCTTTTCTAATTTGGTCCTGTCATACCACACAGCAACTGGGAAATGAGCACCTTGACGGCTACTTGTGGGAAAATTGCTTCAGGAAAACAAACTTGGAACGTATGGTTGATAACAATCGATTGCATCAAGAGGCATAAACAAGAACTCACGTGGAACATCGAACCCAGAAGAACGATTTGAGGAAGGCGGAGAGTTCACTACTCTGAAAGCCCCTAAGCCACCCGCATTCTCCGTTTGAGGTTGAGCTGATGGCTGGCCCAAAGGTGTGTTGCCGTTCGTATTAACCGGAAGCTGCGGGAGGCAAAGGGAAGAGAAAAAGAGTATTGGGTGTGAAGGGTACCGTGTCGACCGAGTTATAAAGAAGTGCAGGCTAGTGATCAAGGGTGCGTACACAGTTCAAAGTGATTAGTAACAAGATGCAGCCAACATTACGACGTTAAACATAAACCCTTTGCGTGACGGTTCTTGGTCACAAGTATACTGAGGGAGACGATTCCCAGGAAATACCACCATCTAGAAATCCAATAACTGTTTGCAGTTGACATGATTCCATGTAGATACTTGGTCCGGACACTTGACCTAACATGCCTCCTGAGAAGCTGCAATGTGTGCGCTCAATTTGAGCATTTACCCCACTTACCTTAAGAAATATTCCGGTTGTTTGTCATTAGCCACATTGCTCGATATGATTTTGTGTACTCTTGCACTTTTCGCGCGGCCTAAGCACTCGTGGACAAACTTGATCCTTAGGCCGAATAGTTGAGTTATATATAACTTGCTGGACAGTCGTACGAACATAGAATGCCTTTCTATGCCAGTCAAGCTGAAAACAATCATGAGATTCAGGGTCCGACGAACATCAATGAAACCCTGAAACTAAGACAATTCTATCAATTTTGATTAGACTTATTCATGTACCTGAGGAAAATCTGATGTAATCTCCCAACAGCTTGTATGTATTGCGGGCAGAGATTGATGTGTGTGGTAATAATTTGCGTCTGTATGGCATCGGATTTGATCGTACCTTTTCTCGGTATACACTGAGCTGGTGCGTGTAACAGGTGATCCAAAAACTTACAAGACTACCACGAGCATCACTGCCAACGCCGGTGTCGCTGATATCGGCTGAGTAAAGTCAGTCCAGCAACCCTGCGAGAAGGCTACAAAAACGCCTGTTCACGATCGTCACTAGCTTAGTCTTAGCCTGAATGAGCAAATGCTTCGCTGAATCCATGGTAGTGATTCTGAATAGGAGGTAAGATTGTAAGTAGGATATCAACTGTGAGTACAGACATTATTCGCCATTATTCAGCAGTAACAGCTTTTCGGTGTCTAGCTGCCATGCCACCCGAAGGATGCATGAGGGCTGGGATACTGCCAGGTGGCCAAAGCCTAGAAAGGGGAAGTCAAGATAAAGAAATCGGACCTTCCGGTCAGTAGATCCGCGCTCTGACGACTGAGCCATCTCTCCGATCCGAAACGAACTGACACTGCATCAATTTGCTATCGGAGGTAAGTTGTGAACAGTAACAATAGGGGAAATTACTAGAACCGAGTCGGGAAGCCGTCTCTGCAAGGTTAAATTGATCCGAAGGTCTCACCCGAATGCAGGGGAGAGTCGGTACAATCGTGACAGTAAAATATCGGCCCGTGATATAACGAAGCTGTCTCAGGTGAACAGTAGGCTTTCGGTGACGTGGGGTGAGGCATGATTTTTTTGTGCTAAAAATTGGACCAGCAACACAATCTAAACGTGAGAGTTACCTAGTATGCTGCGAAGAAAAAAGCAATTACGTTAGGAAACGACAATATACACTGTCTTGGGATGACATTTTACTGCAAAGCTAAGGGAATTCCCAGTCTGCCTGCCTGTATAACCCACGCCTGACTGCCATTGTGAACCGGGCATATGGTAGATAAACTCCAGTTCAGTCCAAGTATCTTCAAGCTTTATGCGCCCTAAACTGAACTTTCAAATCGTTCAGATCACGTTTCTCAGTAAAACTCCAATGAGAAAATGAACAGTGAAATAAAGCAAAAGCTGCACAAATAGGTGCACGTGAACTTGGCTTTTGAGGTGCATACATTGAGATTTTTCGTCACACTGTCATAAGAGGTAATGCCACCCCCGAGATAAGCATGGTCCTTGAATAATTAAAAGAATAGTAAAAATCCAGCAACATGAATTTGCACGTTTTGGGCGCAGATGCCGAAGGATTGGACGACCTTGATCAGCTTTTCTAGCAATGGACTGCACTTCCCGCTTTTTCACAAGTGACAACAATGTCATCTGCATATTCCAAAAAGACCTGAGATCAGATCAGAGATTTGAGCACTGGAGTCTTGCATAACTACCAGAGTTAGCCACATTACCACAGCAGTGATGAAAACAAACAAAAATGGAAAGACTGGATACCCCTTTCAGACACTTGCTTTCAGGCGGCTTTCAGAGAGCTTCCAACATGGTCAGACGCGCTCATAAGTAGGTGAACACAAATATCGTATGATATTCAAGAAGTGCTGTAACCAGTTCAATGACTGCTTTTGTCTGATTAGGTCACTTTGCCATTTGAACGAGGCCACAAGAGAAGGAGCAGAGGTTTCAAGTACTTTGGGCTGATTTTGAACAGGTTTAGTCGGAAAACAACATCGATCGCCATTACAAACTTATATCTTGAATCGTATTGCGAAATGAATTTTGAGTTATCAAGTGGAAGCAAACCAAACCCCACGCTCAACAAGTACCATACAAAGCTCAAAGCAGAGCACTGCGAACTAAAAGTCCCACGGCACCGTCCTTTAAGTATACATTCCACAAACAAACGCTGTGCGGGTTGGGATGATAAAAACACTATGACCCAATAGTTAGACCTACCTGTTCCGTTTCCATGGATAACAACTGTGCGGTGACGGAGGCAGCAGCTACAGCGGCCGCAGGAGGTAAAGCCGTGGCCGCTGCGCTCGAAATTCCTTCTGGCGGCGAAATCGCTTTACAAACTCGGAGTAGCTGTCCACCAAGGTTGAACTGATTCATGCTTGCTACCGCATCTGCTGCGCTCTGTGCATTCTGATATTCTATGTAACCAAATCCCCGATGTCGTTCACTGCTTTCGGGATCGACCACTAGTCTAAAATACTGCATAACAAGTGAAAGCATTAGCCTTACCGACAGAATACAATCTTTCCAAAGGCCTCGAAGACGAGGGAAATATCGTCTTCAGTAAGGTCGACATGTATGCCGGATACATAGATCCTATTCTCAAGCTTGTATTCCGCGACCAACTCAGCAATAACCGTATCCGCATTCGTTAGATTACTTGGCCTCCCAACCTTCAGCTGTCGGCCACCGAAACTGGCATTGTTCATCTGATCGATTGCCAGTTGAGCAGCTTCGGGATACTCGAATTCCAGGAATGCAAATCCCTTGTGTTTCTGGGTTGCTGGATCCCAGCTCATACTTACAGTTTTGAGAGGGCCGAAAGGGGAGAAGGATTGTTTCAGGCTATCCTCTTTAACATCATAGGCGATTGAACCAACATACACACGGTTCAACAATGCGACAGTCTGGTTTTTCTTGATGTTGTTTAACTGCTGTGATTGCTGAGCCTGTGTCTGCCGCAGCAGGACTGCTCGTATACTTTGTTCCATGGCATATTTTTTCGCCCTCTCGATCGCAGCGCGCTGCTGAAACTCAAGAGTTCGTAAGATAAACGGATGTTTTGGTTTCTCTGCTCCAGGTCCATTGAATATAGGTCCATTTGGTTCGATTATTGGGTTAATTTTCAAGATACCCAAAGCAGACATGGCGGCTGTAGTTACGGAAGACATTATAAACTGACTCCGAACTGAAAAAATAACACAAGTGAAGCAGGATTGCGAATTATCTCAAGAGAAGGACGACGCTAGGATATCAAAGAAGGTTTCCATGTGCGCAGGGACCAACGTATAACGGACGTATGCACATGGTCTTCAAACTAAAGGCGCTGATAAATTTGTGGTTTGGATTACACTGCTTGGATTTCCGGATCGATAGTGGAGTTGTTGTAACCAACTGCCATTCTAGTTTTAAGACCCATGTGACGAAGAGAGACTCAGTAACCAAGAACACAACAATCCTATTGCGAACAAGCGAAAGTCAGATTACTGTTTTTCCTGCTTTCCGCATCATGCTCTCAGCTGCCTGTAGCTGGTTGACGTAAATAAAAATAAATCATTCATCTGTAGCACCCTTTCGGTGCCTAGCTGTCATGCCACATGAAGGAGCCACGAGGGTTGGGATACTGCCAGGTCGCCCAAACCAAAAGGAGCCACAGGGTTGGGATACTGCCAGGTCGCCCAAACCAAGGCAGGGGAAGTCGGGATGCAGAGGTCGTGTTCGAACCACGGACCTTCCGGTCAGTAAATTCGCGCTCTAACCACTTGGGCCATCTCGCCCCGTGTTGCTTCCATATTGATGACCCTACCCGGACGCCAGATGGCTCAAGTGTTTAGAGCGTGAACTTACTGACGGGAAGGTCCGTGTCTCGTACCCGACCTGTCTCTAGACTTTCCTTGCCTAGGCTTGAGCGACCTGGCAGTATTTCAGTCCTCGTGCTTTCCTCGGGTGGCATGGCAGCTAGGCACCGAAATGGTCTTACAGCTAAACAGTTTTACCCGGACGCAATAAATAATCAGATACATTCTCTTGAAATCTTGACCCTTTTGATCCCAACGCTCCAATTTCCGTGACCAGGGCGGTAGCCCCTAATACGGACACGTCGTTTTTGTTGGAACATTCCCTTCCTGTCGCTGAGTGGGGACGCATAAATGTCAGTAGGATGGCGGAAATCCAAATCGTCTGTTTATCACAACTTCTGCTGGAGGGCAACTGCCAGGACACCGCGATTTGGTCCTTAGATCAGCGGATAAAGATTTCCGCTATGGTTCAAGATCCCAACAATTTTCTCAGCTTTGCCGTTCGAAGGTGGATGTAGTGACTAAGAAGCGATAAGCATCACAGTCAACATTTGGACGGAATAATTGAACTGGTTCCATGTGAACTGAGTGCTGTTATCGAAAGCAACGGTTTCTGGGAGTCTGGATGTTGGAAACAGATGCTGCAGCTTAGTAATCTGTCAACGTTCGCATAACCAAAACTAGATACGACTAACAGAAGGTACCAAAAACGGTTAGGACGCATTGTGTATTAGCAGGCTGGCGAAGCCTACATAGCAACACGACCGTGCCCCTTTTGACTGTGGCCAAGGATCCGGCGAGTATCGGTTGAGTGACTGCATAACTGAGCACTGTAAACAGCTCCGATACGTCTGTTACATATTTCATCCATATGTCGGCCGATAACAGCTAGAGAGCGATGGTGTTCGTGCAGATGTTCAGTTTCATTGAACCAAGACTAGATGACGAGTCTTGGCGGGGTTAACGACCCGGTCCCCAAAGAGAAAGCAGTAAATATGTAACATTTCAGTGAAATTTCACTTCCCCTGTTGTAGCCAACTGAGCCGCAGTGCTCTTCTCTCCATGGATTCATCCGCAATATGGTTGATCCTCACCTGGTATCCTGTGACTTCTTTGAGATTCCCCACTCGAGTACTTAAAGCATCAAACGCGACAAAACAACCTCCATCAATCTCCTAAATCACCCATCCACCACACAGTTGCAACAATACATACGCGAATTCAGTGAAATTCACTTCCCCTGTTGTAGCCAACTGAGCCGCAGTGCTCTTCTCTCCATGGATTCATCCGCAATATGGTTGATCCTCACCTGGTATCCTGTGACTTCTTTGAGATTCCCCACTCGAGTACTTAAAGCATCAAACGCGACAAAACAACCTCCATCAATCTCCTAAATCACCCATCCACCACACAGTTGCAACAATACATACGCGAAATTGTCAGATAACTGAACGTGATTCGCATTATTGAATCTAGCATAACATCGCGATAATTCCCCCATTTATTTGTTCACTCCACCCATGTGTAATTGATGGCCGCCCGTTTCGTCCTCCCATGTCTGTCATTCACCTTCATGCAAATGTCACCCCGTCGGACACCAGTATGCTAGTATGTGTGCAATCGACCTATTTAAACATATGGGTTCGTCCCTTGTATGCAGACTAACAGTCTAGCCATCATAGTTGTGAAATAGGACACGAGTGGCGCGGGTTGTCAACAATCTTATCTGGTGGCACGTTCTACAGGGACCGATGCCTTGCGGTCATCCATCTGAGCCAAATAGGTTGGTCAGGGTTTCCAATCGTCCCCCTGTCTAGAATTGGCCGTCTTGCTTGTATCCGAGCCTGCGTACTCCTGTGATTCAAACAGGTTAAAATTATATGCCACATTGTAGTTAAATTAGCGATGTTAGACGGGTCACGGTAAGTGGTCGGGTAAGTGGAAAAAACAGGGCTTGAGGCGTGCCTTCTTCCTCTTTTACAAACCCTTTCTTCCCCTTCCCCCAATCCGGTTATACCACCCTGCTCATAGGCTCATTCGTTGGGACTGAGGACGCTATTCATTTCTGTCGGCTTGGCCGCAACATCCACATCCGTTAGCCGGCACCAACAGCTTCAAGCATCTCGAAGCCGGTCTACGTGCTCCGACTCCTGATCTATCCCGCGAATATGAGTTTGTGCTCTGAAGCAAGCTGGACGATAAGCTGGCCTCGGATGACATTGATCTGTGCTGCGTATCAGAAATAGGGATTCGAGGTGCAATCACAGTGGTTGAGGTGGGCGAGATGGCTCAAGTGGTTAGAGCGCGAATTCACTGACGGGAAGGTCCGTGGTTCGAACCCGACCTCTACCACTCGACTTCCCCTGTCTAGGCCTGGGCGATCTGGCAGTATCCCAGCCCTCGTGCTTCCTCCGGGTGGCATGGCAGCTAGGCACCGAAAGGGTATTACAGCTGAACGAAGTGGTTGGGCTAACTGTCCCGTCACTCTCCACTGCTTCCGGCTACGCACCTCTGGCGATCCACAGGCAGTTGTGGCAGGATGTTCAGGGATTGGCATCGTCCTGGGTCACTAGCCAGAAAAACTGGTTACCGTTGATAGCCGCCCCTGTGTAACGACCATGAAGGAGTCTCACAGGCGGGAAGCTGGCCATTGTCTGCTTAAACCACAACTCGGTACGAGACAACAACCAGCCGTCTTAGCAATGTGCTGACCGCAGACTGCTTCCATGCATTACTAACCCCCGACATAACCGAAGTCGTTTGGTCACATGATGTCTTTCCACAGCGTGCAGGTCGTGGGCCCAAACTGATCATACTGTCATCAGTTACGGATGACGCCGATCAATAACTACCTCTCTTTTAGGAACACTTGTGCGGAGTCTAACCACGCGCTCGTACAAATTCACTCTTCTCTTCGCGTTCCAGGGCCACAGGGTGGACAACTCGCTTAGCAACCGAGTCTCAGACCCCGAAGTTAAACGGATTTGGAACAGTCGTCTTCTGGGCTTCCTTCCTAATGCCCCACCATCAGATGCCAATTCTTACTGGAACGAGATCGTCACATCTTTGCATAGTTTTGGGATTTTTCTTCTGTGGTACTGTGCTACTAGGTCCTCCAAAACACCGGGTATTAGGCAGAACAGTAGCGCTGCTTAAGTCTCGGATATACTTTCCTAATGCCCACCATCAGATGCCAATTCTTACTGGAACGAGATCGTCACATCTTTGCATAGTTTTGGGATTTTTCTTCTGTGGTACTGTGCTACTAGGTCCTCCAAAACACCGGGTATTAGGCAGAACAGTAGCGCTGCTTAAGTCTCGGATATACTTTTGTCGGTTCGAACAAACTTCAAGTGGAACGCAGGGTCCGCACCGGCCACGGAGCTTGTCAGAAACAAATGCCAAACGAACGAAATAGCGCAGAAAGCTAGGAATACCAGAAGATAATTTCGGCTAGTTCATGCCACCGGGCCCTGGAAAATTCCGGTGAAGGAAACGATCAACCATCATACCACCACGACCATCTTCAAAGACGCCTAGACCGCCGAGCTGAGCAATTTGAAAGGCCATTCTTGTGGCCATTTACTACCATTCAGTCGGACTGTTGAACTGCACCATGACCACAAACGACAAAGCTGGAATCCATACGGCCTCGGAAGTGTTTCACCACAAGTTTCTCTCAAACGCCACCGAGCTACTGGTCCGCAGCCTCCCATCCACGTTGTTCAAAAATTGAAGTGAAGTTCTCAGTCACTTCTCTCCCATTTAGCAAGATGAGGTTGTCCATAAAATTTTTATTTATGAATAAATAAAATAAATAATCAAACAGCGATCCGCTTGTCTTCGGGCACAACGATAATCTTGAAGTCACTTGCCGTTTGTGGCCTTACGGTGGGCCGTGAAGCACTGACGCGAGTGCAGAAAGTGGAATTCCGGCCTGGAGTGGGTTGCATTGAACAAGACTCTACGTTCCGTTACGAGCTAGAACCAAACGATACGTATAAAAAGCCCATTGCGTTGGTGTTTCTGAATCTTAATTTAACATTCAGCTCAGCTGACCGGTTCTTTCTTCTTGACACACGTCCTCATCAAGAAATATCCCAGAATTTTGCTAAGTTGGGTTCTTTGTGGTCGTTGCTGAGCTGAGCAGTTTGGTTACAAACGTTTCATCACCAATCTAGGTGCGTTATTGAGGAGCATAGTGGTGGGTTAGTGGTTGTGCTTTGGGTCCTTTGTGATCTCAGTCACACAGCAAGCGCGCTGTCATCAGTGGTATGGTATTAAATGAAGTGATTTCAGCTTATTTCACAGGGACCATCCCATGATTTCCCTGAATATTCTCGCTGCGACAATTGAACAACCTCTCGAGGTGAGAGAGATGGACTACAGTCGCTCGATACTTATAAGTATTATAAGTGATTGCTTTTGATGTCCATAACCGTGTATCCTGGCTCCCATCCCATGTTGGAGTTCTCTCTTAAAGGCGATGTGCATTCTCTGCAAGGAAACACACAAAACAATGCACCAGAATAAACCGACTGACTTGAAGGACTTATCCTAACCCAAAAAGTCTAAAAATATACATTGCCTGCCACCGGTGTCCAGGACGATATCAGTTTGTTCAAAATAACTGAATGCTGGCTGCAAGACCTTAGTGACGGGAAAGGCTCACCCGACAACAACAACCGCCATATGGCGGACAACTATAAGGTGGGGCCCAGATGTATAGGTTACATCTTTGACCTTGGATCAAGGCTGTTCGGTTATCGTTGAGTGATTGGTCGGTATCCAGCGTAGGTAACACTCGAAATCCAAACTTTAACGACGCACTTAAAATCGCTCTTAAACCATAGTTCGAGCAGAGAAGACTTTCACATAACATTTTGACATCTTACGGGATTTATCAGAAGCCCTCAAACAGCCAGAGGTTTGTTTCACGGATTCACGGATTGATACACAGGATCGAGGCTATGCCCAAGTTTTCCGGGTCGGTTTTGTTCTTGTCGGTCAGTGGCTGTCGTTCGCCTGAAAGGCACAAGTGAAAAAAGGGTGTAGCACTGCTCTTTATGTTCTCAGCGCGGGGCAGTATGCTTGCCAGCGCGAGGATTCGCATAAATAAATGTCTAACAGTGCTTTAAACTTGGTTCCAGAAGGAGCGTGGACAACCGTCGGAGGAAGTGCATTCCACGCAGCTACTACCCGAAATGAGAAAAAATTTTCTCCAATGAATGCATGTGCTCTGAGCTTGAAAATTTTCTTACTATGCCCCCGCCGGGTGTTTGCTGGGTCAACGGTGAAAAACCTGTTTGCCAAGCTTTGTTCAAACAGGGTATAAGTAAGAATTAGTTCCCCTCGGAGACGACGGTACTGCAGGGGAAAGAGATCAAGCATGGCGAGACGTATTTCGTAGTCCACGGATTTGAGGCCGGCAACCAGTCTCGTAGCGGCCCGCTGGACATGCCCAATGAGGGTGACGATTTTCGTGCGTCCCGGGTAGACAACTTGGTTGGCGTACTCCAGGAGCGGTCTGACGTAGGTCGCATAGGGTATTTGGAAGTTCATGCGAGTAATAGGGGAGAAGGTGCGTCGGATCATCCGTAAAATGGCGAATGCCTTTTGGGCCGATTTCTCATGGTGTAGTGAGAAGGACAAGTTTGAGGAGACCCAGATGC